TTTTTTTTTTTTTTCAATTGTACGTATCGACACTATCTTTTGGCTACCAATTACAGAAATTTTAGCACCAATAGATAAAAATCCTTATACTTGAGCTAGGGTAGGTTTGTTTTGTTTGGTAGCCCTAAATCTTGGATATAGAATTGTTGAGCAGAAAGTACATGGATTCGTCTCAACTTAAATAAGGTTTAAATAATGCAAAATGGAAAAAGAATTGAACGGAAAAGAATCCTTAATGTACTGTGCAAAAATATCAGTAACAGTAGCCCACTTTGTTTAATGGTTTATCTAATGTGATTTGATTGTATATATATATATACACACACGAAAAATTATGATTGGTAATAATGCGTATGTGATTAATCTGTCTTTTGTATTACCTGCAGCCATTTACAGACATAAAAATCCCAGAGGAACCGAGGAAAGAAATGACGAGACCTTCGAAACGCATGAAGAAAACCCGCTAGGTGCTGGATAGAAATAATTTTGTACCGAGTATTAAAACTTTAAAAATTATACAATATATATTGATCAGTCTTTCATGTTTCTCAATTTTTGCTGCATAACTCGGCAAGGTGTATGAAGTTGTTTCATGTTCATGTAAGTGGCAGCCCATGAAATAGTATTTTGTAATGGCTTAATTTGTGCAGGTGCTAAGTTTTTTGTTTGATTTTGTAATGGCTTAATTTGTGCAGTGCTCTAATTGTTGGTTTGAATATCAACACTAGTTCAAAAGCATGAAATATTTGAATGTCGACACTAATTCAAATGATAAAACAAGATTTTGGAGAAATCATTTGAAACCTTGATTTGGAGTGGAACTTCGTTCATATGGCTCCAATAAATCTTAAAAATGTTAACAAATTTTAGTCTTAAATAATTTAAATAACTCATAATTTTGTAAGACTCTTTAAAATCTCAAAAATTTTGTAAGACTTTAAAATCTCAAATGAATACTCCAAAACCTTTAAGTTATATACACTACAATTTATAATCTTACAAAGTCTTTAAAAATCTCAAACAAGTAATATTTGCATATCAAGACAAATTCAAAAGCACAAAACAAGACCTCATCGAAGGACGATGTCCATGAGTCCTACAATATAGTTTACGTTTAATCCTCCCATCAACATCAAGATTAGACGATGTCGATGAAGCCCACAATACACGTAAATCGTTCAAACCTTACATCAACGTCAAGATTAGGAAAAAAAAAAAAAAGGGATAACGAAGTCAGGAGAAACTCTCCTCAAGCAATATGCTCGGCAAGGCTTAGAATCTTGAGGTGCTTTTTTTTCCTCAATTCATGAGGAACCGGGCCAAACACTCGTGTCCCGATCGGCTCACCTTGTTTGTTAATTAACACGACTGCATTATCATCAAACTTTACTTCACTCCCATCACACCTTCCACGCTGCATAGCAGCACGAACCACAACAGCATAGTGAACATCTCCCTTCTTCACTTTTCCACCCATGTGAGCCTCTTTCACCGAGGCCACTATTGTGTCCCCAAGTCGAGCCCCTTTCCTTCCCTTGAGGGCTTGTATGCACATAACCCGTTTGGCTCCCGAGTTATCCACCACCTTAAGATTGGTTCTCATTTGTATGAAAGTTCTCGTTTGCTGGACAAATTAAACGAGATAATTCAACTTTTTCTATGTACATGTAAAGAATGTATTTTTATCATCACTAGAGTTTATAATGTAAAGAGAAAGAGAAAGAGATAATATTCTTTTATTACATCTCAAAGGTATCATATTAGAGCTATGTTTGGTAAACGAAACTAGCTTATAGATGATAAGCTAACTTATAAATTTTAAGTAAATTTAAAACTTATAGCTTCAAGCTTATGACTTATCGCTGAAAAACTAGTTTATATAATAAAAGTGATTGGTAAAATTAGTTGATAAGTTAGCTGAAATTAATAAAAAATTTAATTGACTAACTGAAAAGCTACTTTTCGAGCTTTTGAAAAAATCTCATCCTACCAAACACAGCCTGGCTGAACATTAAACAGGAAAGAAAAATTAAATCAACAGTAGTGCCGTGCCATTGAATAGGAAGCTCCTATACATAATCAAGAAACAAGAAAACTAACTTGGGATAAGAAATCCGCATGATTCAACTGAGGAGAAGTTCGGATTGCACTGAATGAACTGTTGGTGAGGCCACCAAGGATCGAACGACCAACTGATGTTTGTCCCATTACGTAAAAATGGGATTAGTTATTACAAGTTGTTGCAAAATTACAGTTACCTCAGTCGAAAAATCATTTTTCGAGGATAAAAGCATGGGATAGAGAAAAAGTGAAAGGTGTCAACAGCTTAACCATATACTACTCGAAAAACCAATCAGCCAACAGAACATTGTAAAGGGTTGCAGAGAAATAAAGTAAATTCTGAAAATGAAAAGAGATCTTATTCGTTCCTCACAAACACGCACACATTAAATAGATGGAATTTCATGAACATATTTAATGTACCTATAGGCATCCAATTTCGTAAAATGATGGGCTAGAAATCTTCACATACGAAATAAAATATCCCAAGAACCGTTTAACTAGTAATATTTGAACATTAGCAATACGAGAAACAGCCTCGAGCAATCCAAAATCTGTTATTTCTCCTCAAAAAAACCATATACAATGCTCACATTCAAATATCACACCCAAAAAAGACTTGATCTTTTCTCATCCTAAATCATAAAAACCTAAAGAAAATCATAAACTGCGGCAAGGCTGCGTTATAGCATGACGAAAATACGCATTTTTTTGTTAAAAATATGAATCTGTACATAAACAAATAACCCTCACTCAAACAGAACAAAACAAAACAATAAACTCATATGAGCTTCTCCTTTGCTGGAGGGATATGATTTTGTTACCTTTCAACTTCTACCCTTCACTATGCTACACATTCGAAAGCAGTGACACAAATATATGAAATAATTAAATAAATAAAGAAATGAAACAATCGTCTATATGAGCCCTATTAGCTAATCAACCCATGAACACAGATGGGCCCAAAAATTTAAAAACGTAAGGAACGAATTAACACATACCACGAAACATTTTAGAAGAATTCGAAGCAGCCATTGCTCAAATCGCGGTACGAGGATTCAGAAGGCAAAAGCAGCAGAGCTCTGTGCTCGATTTTCAACAAATTGCATAAAAACATCAGTTTATCGACTACAATGAATCGTGATATGTAAGAAAAAAATTAGACCCAGATAAGGATCAATTGAGTGCGCGTACGAGTTCGGAGTCTCAGCGGTGGCGTGCGGCTGGTTGATGGCGGCGGACGTGACGCGGCGGCGATATTGGCCTTTGGGTGCGAGAAAAAACCTTCGAAGCAAAATACTGGGCCGAGATAGTATGACTATGATTCTGATTAGCTGGGCTCTAAAATTATGAGAAAGAGGAGGCCATGACTGTTTGGGTTTGGGTAAAGCCCATTTAATCTGAGTTGGTATGTAATAGGCGAAATTTTAAAATAACCCCAAGATATTAAAATTACGAGAAATTACATAATATTGTACATAAAGATGTAAATAGGGATGTAAATGAGTCGAGCCGAGCTCGAGTCCTTAACGAGCCGAGCAGAGCTCGACACGTTAGATAAACGAGCCTGAAATCGAGCTCAAGCTCGAGCTCGAGCCTTAACTAGCCTATCTCGAGCTTTAACGAGCCGAATTATAAAAAATTATATAAAAATTATATTTACGAGCCTTAACGAGCCTTATCGAGTCAAGCTGAGCTCGGCTCGTTAGCCAAACGAGCTTTAAATGAGCTCGAACTCGGCTCGTTAAGGCCTCGAACTCGAGCCTTAACAAGCCGAGCTCGAGCCAAGCCGAACAAAGCTCGTTTAATTTAACAGCACTAGATGTACATAACAAACATTGAGTGGAACCTACCAAAATATTCAATTAGGATTTCTAAGGACTTTTTATGACTTTAGAAATCCTGGTGTATTCATTTAGATTTGTTAAGACTTTTAAAAATCCTGGGGGTATTGATTTTAAAAAGTCTTACAAAATCCTGAGGTATTTAATTTATTTGACACTAGGATTTGTTAATACTTTTTAAGATTTGGTGGGATTTGTAAACTAAAAACCGAAATCCTACTTCAAATCTCACCTCCACACTTAGGATTTCACTGAACCCCTCCAAAATCTGTAAATCTTAACAAACTAGTACAACGCCCGTGTATTACACGGGTGTTTGCTAATTTTTTTTTCTTAAAATTTAAAATTAATGAAAAAAAGTAGTTAGAAAACTAAATACCTTTTATAAGAATATATATATTATTATATATTTATTATGATACTTTTTATTTGTGGAAATATTGCTTAGTTCATTAGTTTATCGGTTCTCCTAAAACATTATGTTTTATTATGTTTTATTATTATATGTTTTGTTGATTAATAAAATTTCCACATTGATTAATAATTTAGTTCATATATATTTATTATGTTTTGTTGGTCCATTATAAAATCGATTTATTGTTCATTCAAAATTGTTTATTTTTTATTTTTTTTTTTTTTTGTATCTTTTGTATTTAAAAATTTATGCAAGTAGCTCCTTTATACAAATTTTTTAACTTACAATATATAACTACATTAAATATAAATATATTAATTGAGAAATAATTTTATTTTTCTAATGAATTGTAATAATATTATTATTTATTATTATTATAAAGATAAATATAATTCATTTATTTTATATATACAATATGTATGTCAAATCAAAAATCATAAAAAGATGATTAATTTGATATATTATATATGTAAAACCGATAAGAAATACAAAAGTTATCTACTTTTAAAATACATCTTTAATTCAATAATTGAAAGAAGCAAATCAAAATTTTGGGATATATTAGTCATTTAGTGTCTCACTATGTAAAATTACAAAGAATTAAAGGGTTATATTAGTAAAAGTGATATTAAAATAACTAAGTTAGCTAAATAATATTTATGAAATATCCGAACCTAGATTATTAATTATTAATATATTAATATTATTTGTCCAAATCTAATTACGAAGTATGATTATTAGCCAAATAGGATTTCGAAGCACCAGAAGCAGCCACGTAGGCTCAACGCATTCGGAAATTATATATAGGAAGAATCTCATATTTTAAAAAATCTCAAAATGTCACTTGAAATCCAATTGAATACACCCTCTTAAAATTTTCTCCAATTAATATACCTTACAAGGAATACATTTTCTCTTGTCGGACCAAGTCAATGAATTGAAAAATTAAATACATAACATAGTGACAAATCATTCAAGTTAAATATGAAACTATTGAATTTAAAATTAATCAAATTACAGGTGCAGTTTGGGACAGCAGGTTAATTAACATGGATATAAAAAAATAACATAAAAAAAAATAAATAAAATGTTGCCCTATACTATACACGATGATGGAATTAAATTCAGCCCTTATCCTTCAGGTGGGCTGCTGTAATTATTTAATTCAAATTATAACTGTTTTTTTTTTTTTTTGGTTAAAATAATTAAATGAAAAATAAATTTGGACCAACTGATTTGATAGGAGAATGTACACGTGGACTTCAAAACATAAAAGGTAATCTTGATGTTATGAAATTTCAGAATGAAAAAATTGGAAATATGTGAATTAGTTAATGATATAATTTATTGAAAAATACACAATAAAAAATTAGAAAAAATAAAATGGATTTGAAGTTGTGCATGTCATGAGATAATAATATAATAATAAGATTTGATGTGACATAAAAAAAATAATAAAATGTTAGCGGTTAGTTGTAGTAAGAAATATGTGAATTAGTTAATGATATAATTTATTGAAAAATACACAACAATATTTACTTTTTAGTTTTATAATTGTGTTAGTGAAATTGTGGAGAAAAAAAAAATAAAATAAAATATTAATCAATTGTTAAAATATTCATGAAAGCCATTAAGCAGCAGATTGGAATGAACTAAAGTGATTATGATCAAGTTTGATGAGTCAAGGCGAGTTACTTAGAATAGAGTAAATTTTAAAATAAATAATATTTAAAATGTAATAATTAAAATTGAGAAGATATAAAAATATGAGAGAGATTAATTATAGGAGGGAATAAACAGATAAAATTACATGAATTGATGAATAATAATTAAATTTAGAAACAACGTGTGAGAATAATCTATTATAGTATTATTTAATTATTAAAGTCCAACTTGCTTATTTGAAAGCATCTAAAATATGGGAGATTCTACAGTCCCGTTACGGAACTATTCCGTTGGGGTTGGTAACCGTTAGATCAACTATTTTTTACGGTTACATAATGATCTAACGATTATAAAATCCCGATAAAATAGTTTTGTGACGGGATTGTAGTATTACCACTAAAATATATAGTTAAATTAATGCGGGTATTTTTTTTGGTTTTAGAAACCCAAAGAAACACTTTTATTATTATTATTATTATTATTATTATTGTTATTATTATTATTCATCAAAATGCAATAATGTTGCTATAATCTATCCAATCCAATTGGTTGGATCACGAAAGGTACGGATTAGTTCATTTTAATATTAAAATATCGAAACAGATACAAATATGAATTATGATTTATGAGCCAATAACAATCAGCCAAAACCCGTGAAATTAATTAGTTAGTATATTATTTAATTATCTTCTATAGTTATTTTCTCGTGAGGTTTAGACCTAGCATTCTCATATATTTGTTGTTATTGTACATTTTATTTCGTTTTTATATTTGTAATCAATTTAATTCCACTAAAAATTTATGATTCGTTTGCAATTTAATTCAAATCTTTCAATTTTGGCAATAAAAATTACGAAATTTCAATTTTTACAACTCGAGATGTTACGTTACATGTTTGAATCGTTATCTGACGTGAAAAATGTTAGATGATACGACATAAATGAGAAAAGTAAAAAGCAAAATTAGGATTACATGCAACTGATATATTATTTCATGAACTTAAAAATTCGTAACTATGTCGTTTTTGTGCAATGTTCGACCCAAATTTGCTGCTCAGCGTGACGTTTGGATATTTCAACATTCACTTTTGATCGCATGCTTCGAATTGCAAAATATAAGAACTTGTTCCTCTTATTTTAGAAAATAGAAATATTTTAAAATGAAGCAAATTTAAACTTTATTTTTTTTCTACAATCCTTACTTTGAAAAAAAAAAAAAAAATGCTTGGTCCTTGTAGTGTATAAAAAAAATAGGCAAACATGGTTGAAGTTAAGTTGTCTCGATGAAATAATTTGAGGGGCGTACATGGGCAAATAGCAAAAAGTTGAAGGACCAAAATGCAAAACAAAAAGGAAGATGTAAAGGAGAATGAACGGCATTGCATGTGTCTGTCCTGTCCCGCTGATTTTGTCAATTTGCTTTCATCATTTTTTTTTTTTTTTGAGGGCTTTTGATTTCAGTATTTTTTTATCAAACCCTCAAATTATCTATAATATTAAAAATAAACATCTCATGAAAAATTAATTCCCAAACCAAAACCCTAATTAGTTTTAAAACCCAAACTTCATTAATTTCCAATTAATCCACAATTTATTTGATTGTCTGGGGAAATTAAAGTGGAATAAATGCCTTTTGTTAAATTTTTTCTGAGCATATTTGCAGGGCTTTGGAGTTCGTGAAGTTGGGTGATAAGGAAGCAGCTCCACTAGAATTTCGGGTATGACCCGTTTTTGCAAACTCCAAAGTCGGGTCATTTTTTATTTATTTATTTATTTATTTATTTTCACTCTAATTACCTTAATTTACGGGATTTTTCAATTTTTGCTCAACACATTGTTGAGGAAATTAAATAGTTTTAGATTAGCTAGAAGCTGAAAATTTTGTTCTTTTTGTCATTTATTTTTTTTACCTTATGGTATAAAGATACAATATTTAGCTTAGAAAATGGGCTGATTTATTAGAATATTGGTACTGCAAGCTTTCAAATGACACCACCTGCTCAAAAATCGAATATCTTGATTATCGAAAAACTTGAATTGAAATTTTTTCTATACACATATGTGCTCTTCCTACTATCTTCGTCGGTCGATTACAAAGGTATCGATTTTCAGAAATCAGCAAACTATACCTCAATTTGTTCATCTCGTCATGTGCTATCAAACTAAAATTTATCGTTAATTGAGTTAAAAAACTTTTCTTGACATATTAGCGTTTTCAATCAAAGCTTTTCGTGACATATCAGGGTTTTTAATCGAGAAAACAAAGTGTTAGTTTCGATTAACATGGGAGACAAATTGTCAAAAAAAAAAGTTCGTAATGCAAACTTTAAAAATCGGCATAGTTTGGGAGGTTAATTTTTTTAAAATTGGTGTTTGGACGACGATATTTTTGTTGAGTAATTTCGTCTTTAAATTGACAACTTTTATTATATATGTCTGTGGCTGTCTGCAATTTCTAGGGTCACCTAAAGCTTTAATTACTTTATCTCTCTCCCTCTCTCTACACATACTGCACAAATCGCTTTCGTTTCTGCTCAAAAGAGACCAAAATCCTAACAAAACGATTAAAATCTTTAATTTACCTTTGTTATTTCAATATTTACTGTTGGTAAAACCAAAAAATACAAGCCTCATTTATTCATTCCCAATCATTATTTGGATTCCATCGAAAAAAATAAGAACAAGTTAAGAGGACAATTTTTTCATTTATCTTTCCTTTTCTCAATTCCTTCTTTGCATCCGATTCTTTTTTTTGGCTTGGATTGATATATATGTGGTGGTTATAAATTCAATTGTTTTTTTAATGGGTTTGTTGAAGATTGTCCGTAGGTGGTGGACATGTAAACGAGCCGAGTTGAGATCGAGTTTAGGGTGTTCGAGCTCGAGCCTAGCTCGAGCCTGAATTTGAGCTCGAGATCGGCTTGTTTATGACTAATAATGAGCTGATCTCGAGCTTTAACGAGACGATTATAAAAATTATATAAAAATTCTCATTTCGAGGCTTGTCGAGCTGAGCTGAGTTCGACTCGTTAACCAAACGAGCTTTAGCTTGTTTAATTTAACATCACTAGTAGGCGGACAAAACTATTACGTTTGGACTCGAAGTGCTTCTATAATATGGCCAAGTACCACTTAATCAATAATCAATGGGTTCAATCAGAAACATTGTTCCCGAAAATGCATTACAATAGCAAGTAAAAGTTACAATTATCGTTTCGATTTTTGCTTAAAAATACCCAAAACTTGTTTTCTTTTTAGTAGCCAACCACGATATCCGGAGTTATGTCCGACTAATCCTAAAACTTGATTTGATTAACACGTTTTAGACTCAAATTTGCTATTATAATATGGCAAAGTACAACTTAAAATTTAAATGAGTTCAAATTGGCTTCATAAAAGTATATTATATATAATAGCGATTATGACTATATATAAACGCTAAAGTTACGTTCACCTTTAAGCCTGTAAACGAGTAGAGCTGAGCTCGGTTTGTTAAATAAACAAGTCAGAAATCGAGCTCGAGTTTGGCTTGTTTATTACTATTAAATAGTCGAGTTTGAGATTTAACGAGTCAATAATCTCGAGGTTTAACAAGTCAAGCTACAGAACATTCTATATGAATTATCTTTTCGAACTTTAACGAGCCTTGTCGAGTCGAACTCGGCTCGTTAACCAACCAACCTAACTTCAAATGGGATCGAGCTCGAGCCTTAATGAACCGAGGCGAACCAAACTTGTTTAATTTTACAGCACTACCTTTGAATGTTCATCAATAGACAAAACTCGTCTTCTACATATTTTTCTTTTAGTTATTTTCTCTTTTATATTTGGATTATATTTATTAATATTTTTTTATTTTCCTTATTTTGTGGGTTTTCCATAGGTGAGCCAAGTTGTGGTCTGAGCAAAGTACACAGGCTGTGGTTTTTGCTTTCTGCAAAAAGCTTCAAACAAAAAAGAAAAAACCCTTCTCTTTCTCTCTCTCTCTTATCTGACCTTTTCTTCGTTATTTCTCTCTCCTCACTCTCTTTTGTATGTATATCTCATCACAAAAGCCAAAGCTCTCTGTGTAATCATCATCAATGCCCCCTAATTTCTCTCTCCTTTAAAAGAAAACCCTAATTTTACAAATTTCTTGAGCTCCGGTTTCAGTTTCTCTTGATTTGTCCCAACTTGATTTCGGCATGAAAGCGGCGCGGCATGGAGATCGATGAGATCCAGTGCAAGTTCGCAAGAATCGGCGATGGCAACGGTGAGTTAGTGCACGCCCGGAATATGGACAGCCCGTTCGCGGCGGAGGATGACGGCAGCGGCGATAGGGGCGGGCGGGGAGTGGGCCTGATGGGGGGTGGCGTGGGGCGGTTGTACGGGTGGCCGTCGTCGCGGATCGTGAGGGTCTCGCGCGCGTCCGGCGGGAAGGACCGGCACAGCAAGGTGTTGACGTCGAAGGGTCTCAGGGACCGGCGGGTGCGGCTGTCGGTGAACACAGCCATCCAGTTCTACGACCTGCAGGACCGGCTGGGGTACGACCAGCCGAGCAAAGCGGTGGAGTGGCTGCTCAGGGCGGCGGCCGCTTCCATCGACGAGCTACCGCCGATGAGCAGCCTCTTTCCGGACACCCCCAAGCAGCTGAGCGACGAGAAGCGGTCGAGCGCGGCCGCCGGCAGCGAGCATCTGGGGTTCGACTCGGCCGAGATCGACATGGACGGCGGCGGCGGCGGAGGCGGCGGAGGTGGAGATCCGGGGTTTTCCCAGCCGCAGGTGACGAAATCCTCCGCCTGCAGCAGCACGTCGGAGACCAGCAAGGGGTCGGCCGGCCTCTCTCTGTCCAGATCTGAGAGCCGGATCAAGGCCCGTGAGCGTGCCAAAGGTAGAGTGGCCGAGAAGGAGAAAGAGAAGGAGAATGACTCATCACTTGTGGCCGGCGCCACACTGAACCATATTTCTCAGGCCACCTCTTTCACCGAGCTCCTGAGCGGAGGAATTAGTAGTGCTAATAACAACCACACGAACAGCTCCGACCACGGCGCCAATGGCACCGTGTCGAATTTCTTCCTGAAATCCCCCAGAAATTGGTCCTCAACCCCGATGGACTACTTCACCTCCGGCCTCTTGGGTCCGCCGCCGCCGGCGACCGCCCGCTCGGGGCAGATGCAGCCGGGTAGCGCGAACCCATTCGCACCGGCGGCGTCGCCGATGTTCAGCGTGGTTCCCGACCACCACCCGGAGCTTCAGCCTTTCTCCTTCGTCCCGGAACTTGTCTCCGGCGGTGGCAGCCACCACAACCTGAACTTCACGATCTTGCCGTCTTCAGGGAACTCGACCGGCGCTCTTGCTGGCTTCAATAGGGGGACCCTTCAGTCCAATTCATCTTCTCCTCCGCCATCTTTGTTACCTCAGCTCCAGAGGTTTTCCGATGGATCTCCACATGGCTTCTACTTGGAAACCCACCACCATCACCAGCACAACCAGTTCCAGTCCGGCTACGATGCCGGCCAGAAAGGAAAAGGGAAAAACTGAGCTTGAAAATCAATTTCTTTAATCAGCCCCGGTAAATTTTCTTCCTTTAATCATCCTTTTTTTTCTGTTATTTCATAGTAGTATTAAAGTTTGAATCTTGTTATGATAACTCAATAAATTATTCAATTTTTTGGAGCTCAATGCCTCGTGTGCCTTTTGGATTTGATGGGTTGAAATTTTCTAGTACAATGAACAGTTTTTTTTTTTTTTTTTAATCCTTGTTTATGATTTCATTGTCTTGGTTTCATAAAAAAGCCTGAAATTTGGTGAAATTTGAATAATATATAATTCATTATTTTCTCCCACATTGTTGTGTTGTGTTGTGTCTACCTTTTATGATAATTCATGGCTTTGGTTCCCTTCTTCCTGAACATATATGGCGGAGCCAAAGCCAGGTGTTGCCTGTGTAGTACTGTATAGTGAAAGGGTGCGCACATTAGCATCCGGTGAGGCTTTGAGTGCGTATGATAGAATAAGGGATCTTTATTAAATACTATATAATTAATTAATTAAGATCACCAGTAATTTATGTCTCCTTTTATTGTGGCTGTCCCACCATTGGTCTGTCACAGATAAGGAGATCACAATGCGGGAAGCTTAACACCTGTCGCCGCCCCTTCACTGCCGGAGTTAATTTCCTTTAATTAGGGTTTTTGAGCCTTTATGTGTGTATTAAAAAGTGTGAACAATTGTGCTGCTGTATAATGATTTCTTTATTTACTTATGAAAAGAAATTAAACATTAATAGGTTTTGATTAAAAAAAAAAAAAATAGCTTAGTAGTCTGATAGATTATCTTTTCTAGGTTTGACCACATTCTCTTGATTGAAGACTTGTAGACATGTTTTATAATGAGATGGGCGATTCTGGTCGTGTGCATACAAATATATCCGCTCAAAACGAAATTTCTTTATTAGTTAGAGTTAATTTTTAAAAAGTTAGTATGGTTAATTGTTTGTGTGATTTTGAGTTTATATTAAAATAATATTTAAATTAAAATAATTAAAGTTGATATGATGTAAAAAGTATGAGAGAGATGTTGTGAAATGATAATTGATTAAAATTATGGGAGTAGATAAACATTGAATTAAAGTTAACGTGGTGTGTAAGAATGGTTGATTTGTGTTATTTAATTATATTGATAATAGAGTATAGCAGTAATGCTAAGGAGCCAACAACCAATGGGACAGCTCCATGTGGGGCTGTCCCACATTGGATCCATGTGGGACAATCTCACATGGAGTTGTCCCATTGGCTGTTGGCTCCGTAACGAAACCAACAGTTGGCTCCTTAGCATTATTGTAGAGTATAGCGAGGTTGAGTTAAATTTTAGTTATGGTTTGAGTATGAATTAAATACGAGTTGTGATAATTAATATACAAACACACCACACCCTCATGTGTTCTTTTGGACTTCAAAAACTCCAATTTTCAATATGCATTACTCTCAAGTTCAAAATAAATACTTTTAACTTCATCTTTTTTTTTTTCTCAAGTTCCAATTGTTGTTCTAGATCAAGTTCCAATTGTTGTTCTAACTAAAATGTGTAGGGTTTAACTTTTGTTATATTACATATCACATTATAAATTTAGTTTCTTTATTTACTTCGTTTTCGGAAAACCCCCTCTATATTGATTGAAAATATCCCTATATTATAGGCTTCCATTGACATATTAGCCAACAATGATGTCCCCATAGAAGTGAGGCTCTTTGAGTGAACAGTGTACAAATATGCAGTGGTGGGTTTTTGGTGCATTACAAGAAAACTAAGCTACCCTCAATGACATATTATTACCGATAAAAATATGACTTGCTTGCCGAGTCTCTTGCATGCTAAAACCTCTAATCATGTCCTTTGGTAATGATAGCAAAATGACTTTGTTTCGTTGCTACGTAAGGAACTAGAGAGGCCATTTTGCAGTTAGTTATTTATTCGCGTCACATTGCAAATTAAATGATTTTGTTTGGTCACTAGATAAGGTATATTAGAGAGGTCATTTTGCATTTAAGTATCTATTCGCGATGACGCGTACGTGTTGTTTCTAGTAAGACAATTGGTGATGTGAGCCTAGTAAGACAATCGTTTTGTGTAGTTAGTCTCTCTATGCCATCAGTGTATCGATGAGAGTTTTGATGGAAAAACCATTTCCAATATCATGATAAGCGCGTATGGGAAATAGTCGATCCATTTTTCGGTTGTTCACTTGAGATGACAAATTAGGCGCATCGTCGTGAAAAGCACGAAAGCGATCAATAGGAATAAGTATTTGTAGCATATCAACCCTCTAAATTGCCCATCAAACTTTCTCCCACTGTTATATACCCTTAATTTACAAGCTTAAATACAAAAGCATGTGGCTAGCTAAGATGCTCTGTAGATGAATCTAAGCTAACCTCAGGTCTGCTGAGGTAACTTAATAAAGAGTGTTAAGCTTTAGTGTATAAAGTGAGTTTCATTTCATTCATATATATACTATTACTACTTGCTGATACTATTTCTGGTAATTAAGAGAAATTTCATTATTCTGTACAAATATGCTTCACTATCTTCTTACTTAGAATGAGTTTGATTCATGTTTTTTTGCAGGTGACGAAAATTTCCCGCACTTTACTGAGGCACTGTGTGCTCGTTCTCCTGCAGCCTCAGCGTGCGACCGTGTGTTTGTTGTATCATCTGAAATTTTATGTGTATTCAAGTAACTTTAGTAGTGCTCTGATTTTCCTGGTTTAAGTTGTATCCAAAACTTTTCATTTTTCTTTGGAGTGGTGCTGTGTGTTTGTTGAGAGTAATGAATATTTTTCACCGGTCTAATCTGTTTTCGCTCTGCACAATTGTTCATAATAATGGCGCGAATTCAATTGTTCATAATAATGTTGCATATAGTAATTGTAGTTTCTTGGACATTTGTATTTGTACTTTTTTTATTAAAAAATAATAACTGATCGACCCGCTTAACGATTGAGTTCATACAAAAAATAAACTATTTCGAAGGTAAATTTTTTGTTCATAAATAATGACCCTTTTCAAAAAAGAAAACAAAATGAGAACACCCAAAAGGTTCATAGTAGTCGACAATGTGGATACTTGATTGGTGCCTTTCTTTTTTTCTTTTTAAAGGAAGATCAATAGTGTTTTCACTTACTCTAATCCATGACGTATCGGTCACATGAAAATCGTCTTACCACCAAGCTCTGCTTCGTTGTCCTGATTTGTGCCATTTCACAGAGAAAGAAACCGATACAGTAATCGACAGTTATAATGAAAATTCATCTCTTCAACAAGGGGAAAAGTGATCAATAATAGAGAAAATCCTCTCGTTAATAAAGAAATATTGAAAACTACAACACCAGCCGGGAAATCATATATAAAACTGAAAAAAAAAATAGCAAGATGAGGATGAATCCATCATAGATAGAAAGTTCAGGTGTTTTCCCATTTATCAGGCCAGTAAATCAGCTGATAATACTAATAATAATATGCAGCTGAAAACTCACAGTATACTTTTCAAGTAAAACCTCTTCAGGTACAAGCACATAACCATATACTATTCAACATATACCTACAACAATATTTACATATACAGTCGCAAACAGAACCAGATGACCAACAAAATCGAACACCCATGATTTTACTCTTACAACATTAAGTTGCACAGCATACGATTTTGCTCCTAAAGACCGTTTGATTGTAGAAAGCAAGACCGTTTCAAGGCATAATAATAAATGGAAGCACTTTTTTTTACATTTGATCGATCCCTCTCACTTCAATTATACGCTGCTGCTTCAAATTGTATACCGCGTGATCGATCCACCCGACTGCTATAACTTGCTTTTCTAGTGAAACCTTTCACTGCAAGATCAATAGGTAACAGAGTCAAAACAGAAATAATAAACAAATTGGTAATTTTTTGTATTGAGAGAAAAATAACAAATAAATAAATAAATAAGTACCCATATTGTGTGCCGGGAGATAATGTTATGGGGCAATATGTTTGCATTAATGGAGACTCAGAACAAGTATGCAATATGCACAATGGAATTGTATGCAAACAAACAAACCCATCTTATAATGAAAAAAGAAAGATAATGACACAACCCATCTCGTAATGTAAACTTTCCATTTGTTGTTGTAGAAAGCAAAATGACACGACAACCCATCTCACGAACAAGTCTCACCACATGCTCACAAGGATTTGTCGGGAAAACACACACACACACACACACACACACACACACAAAGCCATATAGCAATCTTTTTTCTAAAGGCAGTTCAGTTCAGTAGGCATAATGATCAATTAACAATCCAAGCATTTTATCAACAGATAAATTAGAACAACAAGAATTCTCCAACCAGCTTTCTAGACAATCCTTAATAGAAAGCACCCTGTGTAGTTCAAAGGTAAAAATACCACTGGCGAAAGGTATATTTAACGTGGAACAATGTAATAACAGGAAAGATAGCAAATCAAAATCAGCTTTAGTAGCTACAAATCGAGGAACTTTTCCATAAGACTGGAAAAATCACTCAGACTATAACAAAGATAATCTACAGTTACTGGCCTTTCGAAGTCAAATCTGTCATACAGAATCCACTGCAAGATATAACACAATATCACTGCATATGTCTATTACCTGATAAGGCTACATGCAAATCTAAGTGAGAACTGTCCCACATTAACTCAACACCGTATTAACAAAGCAACAAACACGAAAATCCTCACATACCAAGGACTCAATTCAGCATAGATAAAAACATAGATAAAAACAGCAATATAGATACAAATTTACTCTACACACAACAAATCTCAAACAGTTTGTAGGAAAGGCAGCACAATACCTCAAATTTCAGCCTTAGCCACTCAATTTTCAAAAGGAATTCATTTCCAAACAGTAAGTCCTCCTCTTCACTAACATCCTCGCAGCAGTCCCAAACGGCTCCTCAAAGGCCGACCCAACCCAATTCCCCTCCAAGCCCACCGCCTCCATCTTGGGATGTTCACTGGGCCTAATCGCAACCAAAGTGGCCCCTTTTAATACCACACCATTCGGCAACTCAACATGGGCCGCGTACCACAATCGCATATTCAAAGCGGGAACTAAAGTCCTCCTCGAAGCTGAAGATGCCGAAAGGGGTTTCACTCTCAGCTCCTCCAGCTGCTCTTTGTTCATAGACAAAACTCCTTGCCCATCACCATCAGTCAAAACCAAATTTTCCAATGTCTTGTGCTCTGCTATAATGGGCTGCAGCAAATAATGCCTAGCAGAGGCAGCTATCAAGGAGCTTATAGTCCATACAACTCGCAATTTCAATCCTCCATTCGTGTAAAACGACTCCGGTATGCTCCCATTGTCATTACAATCATTACTATTACAATTACTCATACACTCAACATCATTACACGCGCTCTGAACGACACTCGAAGCTCCAAGAATAACACAGCTATGCAGTGTGGAGCCAAAATTAGCCTTCCACTTCAACAAAACGCCTTCATCAATTCCTAATTCCCCACTCGGGAGCTCTATTCTGAGAAGCTTGATCTCGTTAAAATTCTTCAATACCTGAGTTGGAGAATGGTGGGTGACGCTGCTGGGCTCCGTCTCGCGTTCGAAATCCTCAGGCAGAGCAAGGCGGCTGGGTGAATGGGCGATGAGCTGGGACAGGGACTGCAAAGGCTTGAAGAGGCCGGAGAAGAGGACGCGGAAGAGGGAGGAGATCGGGTGGCGCGACTTGCCGCCGGCGGCGGAGGATGAGGACGTCGCCAACGGGTCGTCGTCGGAGATGACGCAGTCCACGCGGACCACGACGTTGTCGACCTGGGGAACGAGGTCGTGGAAACGCCTCGACACGACGCAGCAACGACCGAGGGCCTTGACGTCGCCGATCTGGTTGAAGATAAGGAGGACGACGGAGTCCGGCAGCCGGTCGAAGTGGTCAATCGGCTCCGAGAGGATCCTTCCGCTCAGATCTGGAAGAATCGAACCCATTTCGAAATTTTGTTTAGCAACGATTCAAAAAAGCTTTTGGATATAAGGCGGGGCTTAAGACTCTGCGATGGAAATAAGAAAAGATGGTAAATTCATGGGAGAAGAGATGAAAAACTTCAGATTTATGGAGAGTTTTAATGGCGTCGTCTGCGTGTTGAGGAAAGTGGAGTCGAGTTGAAAGGATGGGTGGAGGAGAAATAATACCTGTTTATTATTACTATATTTGTTTTTTTTTTTTTTTAAATAAAAATTTGTTC